ATCATGTTCAGCCTTCATTTGGGTTTAGTAATTCCTCACTGTTACATTGCCCTTGATTAAGTCCCACTAGGCATCCTACACCCTTCTTTCCATTGATTTTAGTTCACTTGTTGTTCCTTTGTCCCTGGGTTGGTTGCCCCCTCCCCTTCCTTTCCCCACCTCCCCTTCTCCCATATCCCCCCCAGAACCATCGGTCCCGTTCTTTTCATCTCCGAATTATTTATCCCACCTATTTTATCTAGATAGACATGCAGCTACATTCATAAGTGCAAAAATCTGGCAAAGCCAAATAAAACAATAAAGGAAGTGGAAACCAGCAAAACAACAACAACAAACAAAACAAAAAATAACAACAACCAAAAGAAAACCACTGACAAATATGGAAAAGCCTATATAGAGTTCAAGGTCTGTTTGTTGGCCTTTAAGTCTGTTTTCCAGTCGGGTCTTATGGGATGCCACACTCTGTCTCCAAAGTCTATTTTTTGGCATTCCCTGGGGATTTCATTGCTTTGCTCCCCTTGCTGCTCTGTTGCACACCCTTAGTGTTTCCTCCCAGTGTGATGGGGTCAGGTTGTGCACTACTCCCGCACTGCGTCTCCACTGTTGTCCCTGGAGTGCTACGGTTTAGTGAGGACCATCTTGTCTCATGATGGGGGCGGCCCTATGGTCCTCTCTGTGCATTGTCTGCTCTGAGCCGGAACATCATCCTTGGGGCTCGGTGGGCCAGGATGTCCTCTCCTCCTCTCCATCCCTTTTCGTTTCTCGCTGGTGCTCGAATCCGACGTGCCCCTCTCCCCAAGCTGTAGCAGCAGTGCTGTCCTCTGAAGTGCATTCTTCTGAGGTGGGGGCGGGGGTGTCCACATAGTTGGGATTGGGGCTGGCCCCGCAGACCTCTCCACTGGTTCCCTGGTACATGCCAGTATATTGTATTCACATCTTGGTGCATCGGGTTGAAGCGTGGTCTCTCTCCCTCCCCTGTGGAGATAAAAACAATACCCTCCCCTTGAGTGAGTTAGTGCCCTGCTTCCCACCTACCCATGTCCTTTCCCCCCTCTTTCTTTCCCTCTCTTATTTAATTGGCTGCCGTATGTATCCCTGGATTGGGTTTGGCTTCTGCCATAGATGCTGGACCTCACCCCAGGAATGTATGTATATAGTAGCTTTTCCCCTGTGCCCCGTTTTTGTATTTTTTTAAGCTTACCTCAGTGGACTCATGTTGTACTTGTCCTTTTGTGCTTGACTTACTTCGCTTAGCATAAGTGCCTCCAGTTCTTCCTATGTGGCAATGTGCTTCATGCGTTCATCGTT